TGTAACCCCAAATCATTTTATGACTTCGTAAACTCCAAGCGAAATGTTCGTGGGTTTCCTTCCGCCATGAAGTATCAAAATACCGTCTTTAGTGATAATCAAGCAATTTCTAACATGTTCGCTCAGTTTTTTAAATCCAATTATTCCATTAACTCACATGCTAACATTGACTATCCTTTTAAACTATGTCCAATGAACTCAATAAATATCCCAGTAATATCTCCCGATGATGTAGTAGTTAATCTGAAATCCTTAAAGCAGTCCTTAAGTTATGGTCCTGACCAGATCCCTACTTGTATTCTTATAAATTGTTCTGATTATCTCTATGAGCCATTAATAGCGTTATTTAATTTATCTCTTAAAGAGGGCGTTTTTCCAACTATATGGAAGGAATCGTTCATAACCCCGTTACATAAAAGCGGTAGCAGATCTTCAGTGGAGAACTACCGGGGAATAGCTAAGCTTTCTGCAATTCCTAAATTATTTGAAGCAATTATAACAAATCAGTTGACGCATTCTATCTCTTCTAGCATTTCATATAGTCTACATGGATTTTGCAAGGGCAAACCAACTTGAATTAACATCCTATATCTCAAACGCATTTAGTGAAAGCAAATCTCCCTGCCAGCCACGGCTCACCACTTTCCCCAGAAAATCAAACGATTTACAAACACATTCACAACTTTTTAGTCATCTCACTCACACACTTACAAATTTTTTGTTCGAACTGTCAAAAAAATGTCCCTTTGTTAGAGCTACATACCCGATAAGAATTCGTACTCCAATAAGAATTCTATGCGTTAGAGCGAGCAAGTTAGAAACATCGGAGTTTTGATGACAGTATACATAAGGTTCATTCCTTATCTTTTTGGACTAAAATCTGAAAAGTGTCAAAATGCCAGAGCGTAAGCAAAATGCGCTCACTAAAAGAGAGTAACAGGAAAAGTAAAGGAACGCAAAAAACCAAATTTTTAGTCCAAAGAATGGCAACAACAAAACTAACGTCAAATAAGAACAGAAATGTATGTACAAAACACATTCACACAAGCACCAGCACAATAAACACTTGCTATATCAATTATCTTTTGCCTCCTTCCAATTTCAATTCATTTGTTTTACTTTTTAGATTATTCTCACTTTTTGCGTATTCTTTAATTTCCGTTAATTTAAATTCAGTTGAGTTTGACACTTTTCAGGATTTTGCCAGAAAAAATTCTTCTGACTAAATCTGACTACTTCGAACTGATGAGAGTCGCTCTCACTGACTGTTGCTCTCTCATTTTTGCTGTCATTTCCGAGTTAAGGAACGCTTTTTGGACTAAATCTGACTACTTCGGACTTTTTCTGACTATTTCTGGGAGATAAGGAACGCGCATATACTGTGAAGAAATGTCACTTTGCGGAAATTTTGAAGGTAAGGATACGTATTTAACAATTTTATTTAATTATAATGTAATTTCTTAATTAGACTGCAAAACACCAGCGACTTTAGTCACATTCTTAAGGTATGTATTGAGACTTTTTATATGTTTATAAAATTGAATTGATATTTTTGTTTGTTTACAGTTTTGGGATTCACCATCAGCACCTTCAACGCTTGCATCTTCATCGCCAGGAGCACCATTAAAACCTTCTGCCCTCAGCTTCTTCATCGCCTGGAGCACCACCAGTACCTTCTATCCTCAGCTCCTTCATCGCCAGGAGCACCATTGGTACCTTCCGCCCTCAGCACCTTCAACGCCAGGAGCACCTTCAAAGTGTAGGTCCAACTTGTCAAATTTTGCAAAGTTGCAAGAAAACTTAATTTTTCTGAAACACCCTAAATGATTTGCAACTCTTAATATATATCAAAATAAAGGTAAACCGTTTACCTTTCTTTTGATTATAACACCGTTAAAATCGCTTTGCGTTTTCATAAAAACTTTGCATCTTTTGTAAACAGCTATATATAAGCAGTGAAAAAGGGGTAAAATTTTGCAATGTTGTAACGAAATTGAATTTTTGTGCACCATTACAAATGATTTGCATCTGTTAATATATATTAAAAGAAGGGTAAATCAATTACTTTTCTTTTGATTATAATATTGTTAAAATCGGTTAGCTATTTTATAGAAATTTTGCAACTTTTGAAAACATTATATGATGAGTATAATACGCAAAAAAAACTGCACTCTTGCTGTGGACGCTGCTGATATTGAAAACATCCCTCCGGCTGCTTCTGTTATCTCTACTGTTGCTGGTACCATTGCCGTTGACGCCGCTCTTGAAGTTGTGAGTGAAACCGCCGCTGACGCTGCTGCTGCCGTTGATAACATTCTCTCTACTGCTACTTCTACTAGCAATGCTGCTCTGCCCACAACTAATATGCTCTATTCAGATGTCGTTGGTAAAATTACTGCTGCTAATACTAACGCTGAGACTGTGACTGTTATGGCACCTGCACTCAACCGTTCTCAGCCTACATCTTCTATCGCATCGAAGGCTCAGTTGCCTGCAGTTGGTGTTAGCGCAAAAAATATGAATACTGTACAACAAAATAAATTACCCAAGCGTCGTATTCTAGTTGTTGGAAATAATAATAATAATGATAATGGCGAACTTGATGTTGTTATCAAAAAGAAGTGGGTGCATGTATCGGCTTTTAAGCCAACTGTGACTGCTGATAGTATCATTGCTTATGTATCAAAAAATTCTGGCGTCGATAGCAAACATCTTGCGTGTTTCAAACTTATAAAGAAAGGTTCATCTCTCGATAACATTCGCAGTGTAAATTTTAAATTTGGAGTTTTGCCGTCATCTTATGAGAAGATTATGAATCCTAATGTTTGGCCTTCGGGAATTAGTATTCGCCCATTTCAAATTTTTCAAAGGGAAGGAACCACTGAACCGACCAAATAGCTCTGCAGATATAAATTGCAAATCTCGTAATCTTAAAATCTATTTCCAAAATATGTCTGGAATGCGTACTAAAACGAAGGAAGTGTATTTAGCGACCTCGCGAGCTGAATATGATATTTATGTATTTGTCGAAACCTGGCTTAACTCAGACTTCTTTGATGAAGAGTATTTTAATCCAAATTTATTTCAAATTTATCGAAAGGATAGAGACGCTATAAAAGCTGGTCACCGTAAGGGCGGTGGTGTTTTAATTGCCGTTAAAGCTGTTTACGTTCTTCAAATATTCAACTATTGGATGGCGACTCTCTTATTGATCAACTGTGTGTGTGTATTTTTGGCCTTGCTCGTAAATTACTGGTATGTGTGTCTTATGTACCACCAATTAGTACGGATGATCTGTATAGTTGTCATGTTAATAATATAATGCATCTTGTTGAGCATAATGAGAATTGTAATTTCTGCTTCTTAGGTGATTTTAATCTCACTGATTTGAAATGGTCATATTTGCAAAACAATGATATTTTAACTCCAACAAATATTAATAGAGCTCATGAGATTTATTTTATAGATAGTCTCCTTAGCTTTAATCTCATTCAAATCAATACATTTTTTAATAAATTGAATAAAATTTTAGATCTTATTTTTGTTGATGAAAACTTAATATTTAGTTTGAATGAATGTGGTTTTCCGATTCGCGCCACTGATAAACATCATGTGCCTCTCATCGTATCACTAGAATTCTATGATATTTTTTCCATTGAAGATAAAAATTGCGACTCTTTCGACTTTCGTGGTGCCGATTATAATGAATTAAATGCTGCTATTTCGGATGTAAATTGGAAGACTATTCTGAATTCGCAAGATGTCTCTTTGTGCTTTGAATCTTTTCTACATAAATTGACTGAATTATTCACTAATAAACTTTCACTACTACCGCCTCGACTTCATAAACTCCCGTGGTATACTAAAAATCTTAAAGCTTTAAAAAACAAAAGAAATAAATACTACAAGCTGTATAAGGAACGCAACATCATTAGCTTTAAAGATAAATATTACTATTATATGAAGCAATTTAACGTCTTAGACAAATTTCTATATAATAAATATATAAACAGATTTGAATCTGAGCTGAAAGTAAACCCCAAGGCCTTTTGGAACTATATTCGCTCTAAAAGAGGTGGGTCCAATATTCCAACCTGTATGCACTTTAATGGGAAGAGCTCACAGTCGCTTACCGATTCTGTCAATTTTTTTGCAGAGTTTTTTAAATCGAATTTCGTTACAGATGACGAGTTTGTTAATACTTCAGTAAATTTCCCTCCTCATTCTTCCTTAGATTTTGGGTCTCTAACCTTAACAGAGTTAGATATTTCGATTGGTATTTCCTGTCTTAAATCTTCCATGAAAAGTGACAATGATGGTCTTTCTTCATATTTTTTAAAGCAATGCGTCTCATCCATCTGTGTCCCATTATGCATAATTTTTAATCTTTCTCTTTCATTAGGCATTTTTATTGATCGTTGGAAGATTGCATCCATTACCCCAGTTTTTAAGTCTGCAAGTAGGAATGATGTCTCAAATTATAGGCCTATTTCCAAGTTAACAGCTTGCTCCAAACTTTTTGAAATAGTCGTCAAAGATAAGCTTTCTTTCGCTACTAAGAGCATATTAGAATCTCGTCAGCATGGTTTTGTTCGCGGTCGCTCAACGGTTACTAATTTAGTGACTTTTTCGGAATATTGTGTCTCATCCTTCAAATGTGGGTCTCAGGTGGACACTATTTATACAGACTTTTCCAAAGCCTTTGACAAAGTTTCCCATTCTATTTTGTTACGTAAGTTGGAGAGTCTTGGTTTTCACTCGGTATTTTTGTCCTGGTTGAAATCTTATCTTTCGAACAGATTGCTGTTTGTTGAAATTGAAGGTTACAGATCTAACAGCTTTATTGCAACTTCCGGTGTACCACAGGGTAGTGTCCTTGGTCCTCTGTTATTTGTTTTATTTATAAACGATATTGGGAGCTGTTTTAAATATTCCGAGTTCCTCCTCTACGCAGATGACCTTAAACTCTTTAAAAAAATTACTTGTGTCCCTGATACACTTTATCTACAACATGATCTGGATAATGTTATTATTTGGAGTCGGGTAAATAAATTATCACTGAACATCAATAAATGCTACCATATGACCTTTTCTAGGTCTTCAAACATCATCAGCTCGACTTATAGTATTTTGAACCATAAACTGACCTCAGTCAATGATTTTATAGATCTGGGTGTTGTGTTTGACTCGGGTTTCACTTTTACAAATCATGTTAATTACGTTATCCCGAAGGCTTATAGCAACTTAGCATTTCTGCGTAGATATGCTAAGGATTTCAAAGATCTTTTCAATGCGCTGGTACGTTCTAAATTAGAGTATGCATCTATAATATGGAATCCAATATATCGTCGCTCCCAACGAAGAGTAGCACATCTCAAATTACCGTGGA